ACATGACTACTGGAAGCACCATAGTTTAACTATACAGTAACCTTCGAAGGCAAAGTAATGTCTCTGTTTTTTGATATGCCATCTAGGTTTGTACACAGAAGAACTGTACAAAAAAGACCTTCATGACCCAGATAACCATGATGGTGTGATCACTCACCTAGAGCCAGACATCCTGGAATGTGAAGTCAAGTGGGCCTTAGGAAGCATCACTATGAACAAAGCTAGTGGAGGTGATGGAATTTCAGTTGAGCTATTTCAAATCCTAAAAGATGATGCTGTGAAGGTGCTGCACTCCATATGCCAGCAAATTTGGAAAACTCAGCAGTGGCCAAAGGATTGCAAAAGGTCAGTTTCATTCCAGTCCCAAAGAAAGGCAACGTCAAAGAATGTTCAAACAATCACACGATCATACTCATCTCACACGCTAGTAAAGTAATGCACAAAATTCTCCAAGCCAGGCTTCAACAGTACATGAACCATGGACTTCCAGATAGTCAAGCAGGATTTAGACAAGGCAGAGAAACCAGAGATCAAACTGCCAACATCCACTGCATTGTCTAAAAGGCAAGAGAGTTCCAGAAAAACATCTACTTCTGCTTTATTGACTATGCCAAAGCCTTTGACAGTGTAGATCACAACAAACTGTGGACAATTCTTAAAGAGACAGCAATAGCAGACCACCTTACCTGCTTCCCGAGAAATTTGTATGCAAGTCAAGAAGCTGTTGACTTGTTAGAACTGGACATGGAACAACAGACTGGTTCCAAATTGGGAAAGGAATACATCAAGGCTGTATATTATCACTGGCTTATTTAACATATGTGCAGAATACATCATGTGAAAGGCTGGCCTGGATGAAGCACAAGCTGAAATCAAGATTGCCAGGAGAAATATCAACAACCTCAGATGGGCAGATGACACCACCCTTATGGCAGAAAGTGAAGAACTACAGAGTCTCTTGATGAAGGTGAAAGAAGAGAGTGAAGAAGTTGGCCTAAAACTCAACACTCAGAAAACGAAGATCATGGCATCCTGTCCCATCACTTCCTGGCAAATAGATGGGGAAACAATGGAAACAGTGGCAGACTTTTTTCTTGGGGGGGGGGGGGCTCCAAAATCACTGCAGATGGTGACTGTAGTCATGAAATTAAAAGATGCTTGCTCCTTGAAAGAAAAGCTATGACTGACCTAGACAGCGTATTAAAAAGCAGAGACATTACTTTGCCAGCAAAGGTCCATCTACTTAAAGCTATGGTTTTTCCAGTAGTCATGTATGGATGTGAAAGTTGGACTATAAAGAAAGCTGAGCACCAAAGAATTGATACCTTTGAACTGTGATGTTGGAGAAGACTCTTTGGGACTGCAAGGGGATCCAACCAGTCAGTCCTAAAGGAAATCAGTCCTGAATATTCATCGGAAGGACTGATGCTGAAGCTGAAATTCCAATAATCTGGCCACCTGATGAGAAGAATTGACTCATTGGAAAAGACCCTGATGCTAGGAAAGATCGAAGGCGGGAGGGAAAGGGGACGTCAGAGGATGAGATGGTTAGATGGCATCACAGGCTTGATGGACATGAGTTTGAGTAAGCTCTGGGAGTTGGTGATGAAGCCTGGCATGCTGCAGTCCATGGGGTGGCTAAGAAAATAAAGTCTGTCACTGTTTGCATTGTTTCCCCATCTATTTGCCGGGAAGTGATGGGACTGGATGCCATGATCTTCTTTCTTTGAATGTTGAGTTTTAAGCCAGATTTTCACTCTCCTCTTTTACCTTCATCAAGAGGCTCTTTTATTCCTCTTTGCTCTCTGCCATAAGGGCGGTGTCATCTGCATATCTAAGGTTACTGATATTTCTCCTGGCAATCTTGATTCCAGCTTGTGCTTCATCCAGCCAGCATTTCCCATGAAGTACCCTGCATAGAAATTAAATAAGAAGGACTGACATACTAAATGTCAGGAAAGGTGAAAGAGGAGAGTGAAAAAGTTGGCTTAAAGCTCAACATTCAGAAAACTAAGATCATGGCATCCAGTCCCATCACCTCATGGAAAATAGATGGGGAAAGAGTGGAAGCAGTGTCAGACTTTATTTTTGGGGGCTCCAAAATCACTGCAGATGGTGATTGCAGCCATGAAATTAAAAAACACTTACTCCTTGGAAGGAAAGCTATGACCAACCTAGATAGCATATTAAAAAGCAGAGACTTACTTTGCCAACAAAGCTCTGCCTGGTCAAGGTTATGGTTTTTCCAGTGGTCATGTATGGATGTGAGAGTTGGACTGTGAGGAAAGTTGAGCGCCGTAAATTGATGCTTTTGAACTATGGTGTTGGAGAAGACTCTTGAGAGTCCCCTTGGACTGCAAGGAGATCCAACCAGTCCATCCTAAAGGAGATCAGTCCTGGGTGTTCATTGGAAGGACTGATGCTGAAGCTGAAACTCCAATACTTTGGCCACCTCATGCGAAGAGTTGACTCATTGGAAAAGACCCTGATGCTGGGAGGGATTGGGGGCAGGAGGAGAAGGGGACAACAGAGGATGAGATGGCTGGATGGCATCACCGACTCGATGGGCATGAGTTTGAGTAAACTCTGGGAGTTGGTGATGGACAGGGAGGTCTGGCATGCTGTGATTCATGGGGTCGCAAAGAGTCGGACACGACTGAGCAACTGAACTGAGCTGAACTGACATACTAAATAAGCAGGTTGACATACAATATATAGGCTTCATGTACCTTTCGCTATTTGAAATCAGTCCATTGTTCCAGGTCCAGTTCTAACTGTTGCTTCTTGACCTGCATACAAGTTTTGAAGGAGGCAGGTAAAGTGGTCTGATATTCCTATCTCTTTAAGGATTTTCCACAGTTGTTGTGATCCACACAGTCAAAAGATTTAGCATAGTCAATGAAGCAGAAGTAGATGTTTTTCTGGAATTCTTTTGCTTTTTCTATGATCCAATGGATGTTGGCAATTTGATCTCTGGTTCCTTTGCCTTATCTAAATCCAGCTTGTACATCTGGAAGTTCTCAGTTCACATACTGTTGAAGCCTAGTTTGAAGGATTTTGAGCCTTAGTTTGCTGGCATGTGAGATAAGTGCAATTGTGCAGTAATTTGAACATTCTTTGGCATTGCCCTTCTTTGGGTTTGGAATGAAAACTGACTTTTTCCAGTCCTGTGGCCACTGTGGTGTTTTCCAAATTTGCTGACATATTGAGTGCAGCACTTTCACAGCATCATCTTTCAGGATTTGAAATATAAGCTCAACTGGAATTCCATCACCTCCACTAGTTTTGTTTGTAGTGATGCTTCCTAAGGCCCACTTGACTTCACATTCCAGGATGTCTGGCTCTAGGTGAGTGATCACGCCATTGTGATTATCTGGGTCGTAAAGATATTTTTTGTATGGTTCTTCTGTGTATTCTTGCTACCTATTCTTAAAATCTTCTGTTAGGTCCATACCATTTCTGTCCTTTATCAAGCCCATCTTTGCATGAAATGTTCCCTTGGTATCTCTAATTTTCTTGATGAGATCTCTAGTCTTTCCCATTCTATTGTTTGCCTCTATTTCTTTGCATTGATCGCTGAGGAAGGCTTTCTTAGCTCTCCTTGCTATTCTTTGGAACTCTGCATTCAAATGGGTATATCTTTCCTTTTCTCCTTTGCTTTTTGCTTCTCTTCTTTTCACAGCTATTTGTAAGGCTTCCTCAGACAACCATTTTGCCTTTCTGAACATGGGTATTTCATGAAGGGGCTTGGGTGGTGTATGCACCTTCATGAAGGGGCTTCAGCAGAGGGATTTAACATAGAATAAGGGAAAATGTTGAGAGAGTTCAAGTTTTAGTTGATTGAAGTCACAAAGTCAGAACATGTCAACATCATCTTTCCTTGTTTTTCCTCCAGGCTGGTAAGTGAGCATGCAGTTACCACCCTCCACCTGGTGGGAGGGAGGGTGGGGATGTGGGGAGTGAGGGGGGCAAGGGGGACTTAGTTCCTGTAGCACAACTCAAAGAGGTGTGTCAGATTGTTATGTCCAGCCCTTGAGGAGGAACTAGGATTCTTGTTTCATGGCTGAGTTATTGTTTCTCGATTGCAATCTTTTGTTCCTTTCAGATCATTAATTACTGTGACCTGTTCAAGGGCAAGCATTGTGGCCAGGCTTAGATCACAAAACAGCTTAGGCATAAAATGGCTTCTCTTATGTCAAAAAGCTATATTGAGTTCTTTTCCTCCTAGGACTTCCCCATCCCCCCATCCTATCTGCTTACACTAGGACCTCAACCTTCCCAGAGATATGAAGGACACCTTCTCTGAAGAGGTGGATGGAGTATAAATTCCCAGCTGGGATCAGTGGAGCTTCCTCCCAAGACTGGTGTGTCCCCCATCTGCCAGTCCTGTAAAACCACCCCAAAGTCCCACGGCCCTGCATGTAGTGGGAAGCCCTGCATGTAGTGGTACCTCTTGCCACACGCAGGCCCTAGTCTCACTAGATTGAAACCCAAGCGTGTTAAATGTCTCAAGTATGGCAGGACCCGCCCCCCAACCCCCACTTTTGACCTTTGGTTCTCAGTACCACCCCTTTTTAAAAAATATCTGGCTGCGCCAGTTCTTCGTTGGTTTCTGGGATCTAGTTCCCTGACCAGGGATGGAACCCCCTTCATTGGCAGCATGGAGTCTTAACCACTGCACCACCAAGGAAGTCCCTATTCTGATTCCATTTGAAAGAGAAATATCACTTCTGCAACGGAAAGCAAACAACTACAAGGCTACGTGAGAATAACTGCTTGAGCGAGTGTGGTGGCGCAGGCATGATAGTACACTACTAGATAATGCCCAGGGGACCTCAAGGCGTTCCCTTGATACAAGCTGTGCTTAAAACATACACGCTTTTCCTGAGAAACGCCAGGCGGGAGAGCAGCTCCAAGCTGGGCCTGGGCTCTGCCCATCTGGCTACACTGATGCCCTGAGGGAGGCAAAAATCGGGTAGGCGTTGGTCCCATTTTACAAGCGGGGAGCCTTCACTGGAGGCCAAGTGACGGCCCCAGTTCTACGCAGATGCGGTCAGGAATTCAGAAGCCAGGATCTCGTCTGACACAGATCCAGCGGGAGGCGGGCAGTGAGGACGCATTCCGCCGGGCGCCGGCGGCCTTGCTTCTCCGCGCCCCGCTGGGGTACGTTGACCGTGAGCCTCCCAGAACACCTATCTACTACACCCGGGCTGAGAGCCCTCCGGCACCGGAGAGCGCTGGCCCCGCCCCGAGGCCCCTCCGGGCCCCACGATTGGCTCCATGGGCAGGGGCGGCGCCGGACGCAGAGTGACGTGACGGCGTCAGGCGCCGCGGGAGCCGCTTCCTGTTGTCAGTGGCCGGGAGGCCGCGGCGTCCCATCCGAGGCTTAGGGGCTGCAGCGGCTGGCGGTGCCCCCGCCCCCTCGCCGCTCCCTTCGGTGAGTTAAGGATCCGGGGCGATGCGGGCAGCAGAGGGGCGCGAGGCCGGGACGCATATGAGCAAGGGAACACCAGCACTCTCCGTGAGCCCAGACCCCTGGTTGCCTTGAGACTGCCCTGCTTCCGAGCCCTCACCCTTCCCAGCCCAGGCTCCGCGCCCCACTCGACCCTAGCCTTCGGCCCGCACCGCCGCTGCTGGCCTGTCCCCTCCATTTGCCACTCGTGACCTGACCCTAGCGCTTACCACCCCACCCCCCACCACCGGTCTTGCGTAAATGCAGCCTCATCCTTGACCTCAGTGTAGCCCAGTTCCAACCCCGACCTTGACCGCATGCCTCTACTTCCCCCCAGCACATGCCATCTTCACCTCTCAACCCCTTTGGCGATCCTCATGCCGCACACGGACTCTTTTCTGGTTCGGTTAGCCCTTTTCACATCAGCCTTCTTATCCGAATCTTCCACACCCTCTGCTCAGCTCCCCAGGGTATGCCCATCCTTAATACCCCATCTCTATCCAACTCTCATTTAAGACCCACCACCAAAGTAGACGCCCTGTTGAGCACACGCTCTTCTTTTTGATAACTCTGATCTCAGCCATTTCTCAAGTCTTACACGCCTCTTGTCTTCAGACTCAACCCCTCACTTCGTAGCCCACCATAGATTTCCTATCCATCTCCAACCATCAGAGGACACTCCTAATGTCCCTAAGTCTTTGCTAAACTGCCCCCGACTCTTGGTGCCCAGTTCTTAGCATCCTCACCCAATCTTATTAAAAATGAGGTCTCCTGCCCTCTCACCTCTGCTATCCCCAGCTCAGTTCTACACCTGTTTTTCCCTTAACCCAGTCCCCACTCAGTCTGAGAATCAGTGCAGAGTCCCCCTGCCAATCTCACCAGCTGCCCCTCAACAGCCAAATGTCACTGCTTTCTGGGAGCCCAACAGTTAGACACTGAGGGGTTTGATGGGTGCCGGCAGGGCCTCATGTGGTAGGTAAGTGTAGAGAAGTAAAGCTCCCTGCTTTGGGTCAGGGTCAGGGATTTTTTTTCCCAGGTGTCTGGTTCCCTGGACTTGCCCCCTGAAATTGTGTGTCTAACATTCATATTAAATGACTTGTGCTGCTTCCGGAATGGTAGGTGTCACCAGATACCTGGAAGGTGAAGATGGCCACTCACCTGGCTCCCACACAGCCTGGGGCAATGGAAGCCATCACTTCCTGTTGGCTGGTTTTCTGGCCGGGAATAAGCTCCAGGAGCACCACTGTGTGGCAGTGTTCACAGAGCCGTGTCCATGTGTGTTGTTACTTGTTATGGACCCGCTCCTGGTGCTCCTGCCAGCTAGAGCTGAGAGCAGACCTGTCCTGAGCACAGGGAACGCAATGGATGCCAGAGATGATGTCACACGTTGTGAAGAGCGTAGGTGAGAGGGCTCCCAGGAGGCAGAGGCTCAGGCGGGTATAGCGGCTGTTGAATCACTTCCTTTTTCTGCAGGTGCTGGATCTTTGAGTTTGAGCCATTTGGTTACCCATGAACATGGGGAGCCCACATATCTGAGTGGCTGAGGCAGAGGGACATTCCTGAGGCCCCACTTTCAGCATTTATCATCGCCTGGGCTTTGGGGGTACACATTCTTTTCAAATTCTGATGACCTGGCTTTAAAGGCCATTTGGTAGCAATTTTAAACGGTCCCCAATAGGACCTGTTGTCTTTGTTTGCCATTCATAGTCTTTTTTTCCCCATATTTATTTACTTATTTGGCTGTACTGAGTTCTAGTTGTAGCACACAGGATCTTTTTAACTGTGGCATGCAGGATCTAGTTCCCTGACCAGGGATCAAACCTAGGCCCCCTGCATTGGGAGCATGGAATGTTAGTCACTGGACCACCAGGGAAGCCCTCTTGCTATTTATAGTCTTGCTCCTTTGAAAAGTTGAATGCTCTTCTCCCTTCAATGTCCATCCCCCACCCTATTAAGGTGGGATACATTGAAATAGTTTTAGCCAGCTAGCAGGGTGGTTTAATGTAAGGTGTTCCATCCTGGCTGAGAACTGTATACCTCACCTTCCCTCAGCCTGTGAAATGGAGATTCCTGCTCTGAGCCTTATTTTTGTTTTATTCTAATGTTCATCCAGTAGATGTTTTTTGAGCATGACTATGTGCTGTGCGTTGCTCTAGGCACCAGAAATGCAATGGTGAATGAATTCAAGTTCCTGTTATCATTCATTCAGAGTTGGTCCTTGCTGGAATCCTAAGGACGGGACAAGAATATGGGGGAGATGGGTGTTATTGATGTAAGGAAGGAAGGAAGGAGGAAAGAAAACTGCTCTGTCTTCACTGACTTCACATTTCTGGCCTTACTCACTAGCCTTTAGTTTGGGAATCACAGGGCTAGAGATTTCTGTCCCTCTAGCGGGCATCTGATGACTTCAAAGGCTGTTCCACACTCTCCCCACTCCCTTCTCCTGCCTCAGGACACTTGTCCAGAAATGCAGCCGTCTTCAGGTGGAAAGAGGTATAGTTTACTCACTCCGCACTCACATGTCTGAAAGATCAGCTGCCCTTCTGAATCAGAAGACAACTTTGTCCTTCTTTTCCAGCTGAAAACCATGACTCATCAGTTCATACAGCAGCTGGATGGCTTAAATGCCACACTGTTCTCAATAGCCCGGTACAGGGCTGGATTCAGGCCGTAGAGAGCAGGCTGTTGGGAATAGCTGGGAAGTCTCTAAGGAGAGGAGGCTGCTGTTTACTGATGGATGGAGTGTTTCAGAACTGGAGAAGCCCAGCAGTTCTTTTCTTCCTTTAGTGTAAGTCTCATCTAAGCCATTTTTTTCTTTTCTTTCTTCCTTGGTCTCTGGAGGAAGTGAAATTGGACATACATAGAAGGCCAGGCAGCATAAGAAAGAAAAGCAACCAGAACAATTCCTTCCTGTGTGTTGGAACATTTAAGAAAAGACAACTGTGAAACCTGGGTACCATGGAAAGGACTTGGCCTCAGCTGGTTGGGACTACAGACTTGATGGGTAAGATTGTTTGAGTTTCTGAGTGCAAAGTTAATTATTACTTAGTTCGAAAGTAGTAAGTTTTGCCTGAAACTCTTGGAATCAAAGACCTGAGGCACTTTGATCTGGCAAAAGACACAAGACAGAATGAGGAAACCAAAGAGTTCTATTCCTACTGAACCTTAGTTTTCTCCTTTGTAAAATGGGGATAATCACCCTTCTCTGACTGTATTGATTTAAGAATTACATGAGATTAGAGAAGCCTGAAGCGTTGAGTCCAGGTGAATTGTTACTTAGGGGGAGAGGTAGACTTTTCAAGGTTAGGATTTGCCTCAGGGACAGACAGAAGTCGCCTTTTCTGCCAAACTCCACCAGTGGTGTTTGAAGAACCTTTTAGCAGTGTTCCCCACATTATCCCCTTACTCTTTTTAGCCTAGGTCTCTTTGCAGCCCCCCCCCCCCCCCCCGCCTTTGGTTTGGTTTTTGGTGTCAGTGAAGAGTGTTCTGAGGACAGGAAGTGAAACCCGTCCCATGGGAAGGTACACTGGGGGGCCCTGGAGAATGATGGAGTGCTGACCCAGCAGTCAGGAGACCGAGCCCCATTCTGGTTCCATCAGCAAGTTGTTGTGCCATCAGCCATCGCGCTCCTTCCTCTGAGCTGTTTGCTGCCTCTCTGAGGCATGCTGGGGCAGACCCACATAGGCGGGTGCTTTGGCTTCTTACAAAGGAAGATGTGCCCCAAAGTGTGGCATGAACCCCAAAGCCTCAGTCCCGTTTTGTGACTTATCAAGTGGCCGCTGCCTTCTGAACTCCTCTGCCCTGTCACTCTGCAGCCTTTCTGACACTTGGTTTTAAAAGCGACAGGTACTTGTCTGGCCCTGCTCTGACCTCTCAGCATCAGTCTATGTGTGAAGAGACCCTTTCTGGCCTGAAGCACCTGGTTACTAACAGGGCTACCCACCTCTTCCCCACCCATGAATATTATTTTCAGTTAATTCGTTATGAGGCCTTAATGAACCCAGGCTGTTGTTCCAGGTTGTTGAGGCCTAAACCTTTCCTGTCCTGACCTGTGGCTGGTTGAGGGAAGGGCAGCTGTGGGACTTGAGGCTCCCTCCAGAAGAGGCAGGCCCTAGGGGAGCCCTGTGGCCTGAGGGGAGGCCTATGGCTGCTGGAATTACTGAAGGGGATTGGTGCCCAGGGTCTTGGAGCCAGAACATCTGGATTTGGCCTCCTGAGCTGCACAAGGTGGCCTGGAAGGAACATTGTCCAGAGGGACTGTTTGCAACACCAGTCCTTCCGCCTGGGGTGCTGGTGGCAGGAGACTGGATGAGGGCCCGAGAATCACTGTAGGTGGGAGGGGGAATGAGGTGAGGGTGAGGCAGTTAGACAGGGCCTGAGGCCAAGGGTTGCATCCTGTGGTCCATCACGCCCTGACCAGGGCTGGCTCTGCAGGGGCCACCCTCCAAACCCCTCCCTCATTCCCTGTGTCTTTACTGCGGGAGGTCAGCTCTGGGTCGGGTTTACCCTCTGCCAGCCCCAGGGACCAGGGACTGAATCAGACCATCTCCCACTGTTAAGGGCCATGCTGTCTCTGTCACTTCTAAGTGTCGAGCTCACATCCTCCTGTAAACCTTTCCTGCCAGGCTGACCTCAGTGTCCCCCTGCAGCCCCTCACCTGGACCCCCAGGCCTCCCTGCCCCCTTCTCCCTCCCTGCCTTAGCCCTCGCCCACACCCACCTCTTCCAGAAGGGAGGTGATCACACTCCGTCAGTCTGAGGGTTTCCCTTGAGCAGGGGTGACCCTTGTCCTGGCAGTGGGCGGTGGAGTTGGCCACTTACCAGCCTCGAAATCTTGGGAATTTCCTTGACTTGCATCAGCTTCTGTTAATAAAGACAGAAATAAATACTAAGACAATAAAACACTCCCAGGGTGGTTATGAGAAATGAATGAGGCGATATATGTAAAAGGTACAAAACCCATTGAGCGTGCCTTGATTTTTGTAACGTCTTTGGGCCGTGAGTTTCAGTTGATTGTTTTTTTGGCTGTGCTACATGGCATGTGAGATCTCAGTTTCTCAACCAGGGATTGAACTCACAGCCCCTGCAATGGAAACATGGAGTCTTAACCACTGGACTGCCATGGGACTCCCCTGGGCCATGAGTTTTTGAAAGCAGAGACAGCAGTACCCTTTTTTGCTTTTCTTTTTTTGGTGTCCCCTCATGCTCAGCTGTGGGGCCACTCAAGATTTGTTTAGATGTGAGTGTGCCTGTCCAGTCCTGGTCTGGACAAGTTGCTGTGGTGGGACCAGGCAGCAGCCCCCTCAGGTTCAGGCCAAAGTCCCCACCATCCCCCACCATGCCACCCTTGGCCTAGTTGCCTCAGGAGAAAGCCAGCTGCCCCAAGAAATGTCTCTGCATACTGACTTGAGCTGCCTGCACACTCTTATTTGGGCAGTGGCATTCTTTGCCAGTAAATTTGGACAGTCACGTCCACTAGGGTTAGAGATACCATTTATCCTTCGTAAATATCAGGCCCTGTGCTTGGCACTGTCCACACTCATAGTCTCCCTCCGAGAGGTCTGATACATGCCCCAGTGTGCCAGGTTGGTTAGTGGCAAATTAAGATTAGAACCCATGTTGTTACCCTTTAGACATGTGCCTGTGCTGTTCAGGCTAGCCCCTCATGGCCCAGAGAAGAAGCAGCAGTGTGGCAGGAGTGCCATTCCGTCTGAAGCCATGTCAGTTGTACTTTTCCCCGCTGGCTGGCCGAGCCTGGGCTAGGAGAGGAGTCATGGGACAGTTGCAGGGCCAGGCCCTGAATGTGAGCTGTGAGTTCCTGCTTCTCAGCCCCTGTGGGTTCTTGGCGCCTTCAGCTGCAGCAGTCCCCTTGCGCCCTCAGCTCTGTATCAGATCTGCCTTTCATCCCCTGCCTTTTGGTGCCAGTGTTTGGTGCGGTGTAAAGGGCCCTTTCTGGGCTTCCCTGGTAGCTAAGCTGGTAAAGAATCCGCCTGCAGTGCAGGAGACCCCGGTTTGATTCCTGGGTCAGGAAGATCCCTTGGAGAAGGGATAGCCTACCCACTCCAGTATTCTTGGGCTTTGCTGGTGCTCAGATGGTAAAGAATCCACCTGCAATGTGGGAGACCTGGGTTCAGTCCCTTGGCTGGGAAGATCCCCTGGAGGAGTGCAGGGCAACCCACTGCAGTATTCTTGCCTGGAGAATCCCCATGGACTGTAGCCCACCAGGCTACTCTGTCCATGGAGTCAGAAAGGAGTCAGACGTGACTGAGCAACTAAGCACAAAGGGCCCTTTCTACCCACCTTTTGGGACAGACCTGCCCTTGGCACCCAGGGCTCGTCTCCTCATGAGGTCCAATCCATCAGCCTTTTTTTCCTTCCTTATTTCCTTCCTTAAAATCCACTCTCAGTTTTTACATTTGTATTCAAAGCCCTTTCGGTTGCAGTTTTGAGGGTGAGTTATGGGGAACAGGCGGGCTGGCGCAGTGATGGCTCCTGTGGCCATGTCTGTCCCTGCAGGTGTCATGTGATTCTCCTGGGGAGCTGCTGCTGGAGTGGAAATGCTCTCAGCGGTGGAGAATGGACTGGACCCCCGGGCTGCCATCCCGGTAGGCAACAAGGGACGATCATGGTGGGGGAAGGGGTGCCTGGGACAGCCATGCCTTTGTTTTTTCTCGCTTTGAAATGAATTAGCCCTGTTTAGAAAGAGAAGGCTGAGAAAAAGTTGCGCACAAAAGATCCTGCCCAAAATCATCTTATTGGTGATAAAATGAGGATTTACAAGAAACAATGGGGATTGAATATAGGTTACCGCAAGACCAGGGATTTCTCCGAAGAAGATACACAGATGACCAATAAATATATAAAAAGATGCTCAATATCATGAGACATTAGACAAAGACAGATCAAAGCCATAAGGAAGAAAACAGAAGTGAAGTCACTAGTGTAGGAAACAAACTTATCATTTTCAGGGGATAAGGGGAGGGGAGGGATAAGTTGGGAGATTGGGACGTATATACACACTGCTATATATAAAATAGATAACTAATAAGGAAATACTTCGGCCACCTGATGCAAAGAACTGACTCATTGGAAAAGACACTGATGCTGGGAAAGATTGAGGGCAGGAGGAGAAGGGGGTGACAGAGGACGAGATGGTTGGATGGCATCATTGGCTCAATGGACATGCATTGGGGACATGTCTCCCTCTCCTTCACAAACTCCAGGAGGTAGTGAAGGACAGGGAAGCCTGGCGTGCTGCAGTCCATGGGGTTGCAAAGAGTCGGACACAACTTAGCGACTGAACAACAATAACAATAAGCACCTGCTGTGTAGCACAGGTCAATATTCAATACTCAATAATAGCCTATATGGGAAAATAATTTTTTTTAAAGGGTGGAGAGATGTATATATATATATATATAATTGATTCACTTTGCTGTGCCCCTGAAACTAACACAACATTATAAATCAGCTATACACAAATAAAAATTTTAAAAATAAAATAGTAAGGAAAAAAAAAAGCCATAATGAAGGACTTCCCAGGTTGTCCAGTGGTTAAGACTCTGAGTTTCTATTGCAGGGAGTGTGGATTAACCCCTTGGTATGGGAACTAAAATCCCACATGCCGAGCAGTGTGGAGGGGGAAAAAAACCATATTGAGATACTTCTTCATACCTACCAGGATGGCTGTAATGAAAATGGCAGACAATAATAAGTGTTGGTGAGGTTGTAGAAAAGTTGGAACCCGCATCCCTTGCTGCTGGGAGTGTAAAATGGTATAGCCATTGTGGAAAACACTTTGATAGTTCCTCAAAAAGTGGAACAGTGTTACATACAACCCAGCAATTCCATTCCTAGGTATATACCTAAGAGAACTGAAAACATATGTCTACACAAAAACTTGTACATGAAAAAAAAAAACAAACTTGTACATGAATGTTCAAGCAACATTGCAGCTGAAAAAGTGGAAATGACCCCAATATCTATTAATTGATGAGTGCATGAATAAAATGTGATATATCTGCACAATAGAATATTATTTGGCAATAAAAAGGAATGAACTACTGATCCAAGCTAGAACACCGACAAACTTGAAAACATGCTAAGTGAAAGAAGTCAGACACAAAAGCTGTATGTTGTGTGATTGCATTTATATGAAATGTCCAGAAAATAGGCAAATCCATAGAGACAGAAAGTACATTGGTGGTTGCCAGAGGTTGGGGGAGGAAGGGAATAGTGAGTGATTGCTAATGGGTACAGGGTTTCTTTTGAGGGCAATGAAATGTTCTAAAATTAGATAGTAGCAATGGTTGCACAGTTCTGTGAATGTGCTAAAAACCACCGAGCTGTGTGTTTTAATGAGCGGATTTTATGATATGTAAATTATGTCTCATTAAAGCTGTTCTAACAAAAGAACATTTAACTTTTCAAAGAACAGTAACATGGATTGTGTTGTCTAAAATAAAAACCAGTGACACATTTGTCCATAATCCTGTCACCTAATAATTCAAACCAGTTTTTCTGTAATCCCTTCCAGTCCTTTTCCAAACCCTTAGGTAATTTTGACATACGTACTTTTATTATGCTAGAACAATCTTAACTCTGTATTTCCAAAGGACTTTATGTATATTTATTTATTATTTTTTTTTAATGTATATTTAAATATAGGCTTTCTCTAGTTGCAGTGTGTGTGGGCTTCTCCAGTTGTGGCTCACAGGCTCTTTAATTATAGTGTTTGGGCTTAGTTGCCCCAAGACATGTAGGATCTTAATTCCCTGACCAGGGGTTGAACCCTGGAGGCGTCCCCTTCATTCAAAGGGGACTTCTTAACCACTGGACCACCAGGGAAGACTCCTATGTATGTTTTATGATTTATTCATTTAGCAATCATTTACCGAGTACACATGCCGAGAACCAGAACCATTGTTGAGGGCACGAGGATGAATAAAAAGCTAGTCCCGCCCTCAAAGAGTTCCCCTGCTCAAGTGCTGCAAATCACGGAGTATTATTTCTGTATAACAGATAGGAAATTGAGGCTCAGAAAGGTTAGGGGGAATATCTGAGGTGACCCAGCTGGTGACTACCAGAACTCAGATTAAACCCAGGCTGTGACTACCAGGTCTAGGATCTTTCTTCCTATAAACCATGCTCCTGTTTCCAGGCGTTTTTATTGTTCTAACGCAACACTTTTTGCCTCTTAACTTACTGACTCTCTGTGGAATGTTGGTCATATGATTAAGATGGAAAAATCTCACTCCCGCCCTAGATGAATTACCTCAGCTCCCATATCTGTAACTATGATGGAGTCAGTACTTAAACACAAGGTTTATATGGCTGTCAGCTCACTGAAGTTTGGTTTAAAAAACAAGCAAACAGGCAGTTCCCCAGCAGTCCAGTGGTTAGGACCTGGTGCTTTCACTGCTGTGGCCCGGGTTCAATTCCTGGTTGGGGAACTAAGATCCTGTAAGCCTCTCAGCATGGCCAATAAATAAGTAAATAAATTTAAATACTGAAAACCAAGCAAAAATACACCACAAATATCTTTGCAAAAAAAAAAAAACCATAATAATAACAACACCTCTCTCTGTGATTTTTTCTTTTTCTTCTTTCTCTTTATTTTCTACCATTAGCCTGTACTAAATTTTTTCTTTTTTTTAATTAAAATTTTTTGTTTTTCTTTTTAAAAATTTAAAAAAAAATTTTTTTTAATTTATTTATTTGGCTGCACTGGGCCTTTGTTGCAGCATGCAGTATATTTAGTTGCGGCATGTGGGCCCTCGCCCCTTGACCAGGGACCCCTGCGTTGAGAGCACACAGTCTTAGCCATTGGACCACCAGGGAAGTCCCAGCCTGTCCTAGTCTTGTTGCATAGATACACGATTTGTGCTTGCATGGGGACCCACGTGGTTGGTGACAAACAGAGTGACATTGCAGGGGTCGCCACAGGAGCCTCTAAAGACCCGTGTTGTGTCCGGCGCCCCCTAGGTCATCAAGAAGAAGCTAGTGGGCTCCGTGAAGGCGCTGCAGAAGCAGTACGTGTCCTCGGACGTGGTGGTCACGAGCGAAGACGGAGATGCCAACAGCATGTGCAGCGCCCTGGAGGCCGTCTTCATCCACGGCCTGCACGCCAAGCACATCCGCGCCGAGGCCGGAGGGAAGAGGAAGAAAGGCGCCCACCAGAAGCCTCTGCCTCAGCCTGTCTTCTGGCCTCTCCTGAAAGCTGTCACCCACAAGTGAGAGCCACTGGGTGGAAGTGGGGTTCACGTCGGGGTGGAGCTTCAGTATGTGGGGCTCTGGGCTCTTCCTTCCAGGACTTTTCTGTGGAAAGCCACAGGGAGCCCTGTGTCGTGGAGAGGAGATGGCCCAGGGGAGGGTAGTGTCAGACCAGGCCTCAGCGGGCCCCTCAGGCAGTGTCGAGCCCCTGGGCTGGGCACCCTGAGTGGAAGCAGGAGCCTTCTTTTCTCCTCCTCTGGCAAATTCTATAGTTGCAACAGAAGCTGTGTGGCCTGCAAAGCCTAAAATCTTTACTGTCTGCCCCTTTCCAGAAATTTGCTGACCCTGCCTGAGGATGTTTGCATATTTGTGTGCTAAGTATCATACTTGTAAGGAGGTAGGGCTTTTTTTTTTTTTTAATTTAAGAAGAGCAGCGTCCAGCCAGAGCATCTGAATGTGTGCCCTGAGACGCTTGGCTTGCCTGCCCTGCCCTGAAGCACCTGGGCTCTGGAGCAGCCAGCTGGCATGGAGCCTCTCTGGTCTATTAAATGTCCCTGGTGTCCTGTCAGTCTCGAATCTTCCTTTTCGTGCCTACTGCCGCTGCCCTGCCTCAGGCTCTTACCTTAATTCTGGGTGGAATGCCTTTCTAAGTGTCCCCCTTATCTCCTTCTGTCTTTCCTTTGGTCAGTCAGCCAGCCTTTAGCGAGCTTAAGCTGACCAGAGCTCCATCCATGGGTTCTGCAGAGTATGGTCAGTGGTCCCATGGAGGAGCCATGCACAGGGGATGGTGTAGTCAGAGGAGGGGCATTTATAGCAGACGGAGACATTTCAGGAGCTGAGTTGGGTACACATGGGACCGGGATGGAACACCCTACCCTGAAGTCTGCATAGCTGTGGGCGTGTAGCTTTCCTGAGGAAAGCCCTGTAGCCATAGGCTCCCAGATGTCAGGCTGGGGTCTGATTCACTTGGCTGGGGCCCCAGCACCTGTATCCTGGTCTCATTCTCTACAGAGTTCTAATGCACAGCCAGGTGTGGGCACCATTGCCCCACTCTACTTCCCCCATTTGATACTCAAGACCTGTATTATGACCTCGCCTTGCAACCCAATCTTCCATCCTCCTCCCCAAGCTGTAACCAGAGCGCTCCCCACTCCTGTTACAGTCTGTAGCTTTTCTCCCCTTATGCCTTTTTCTCTATCAGTCTCTTACGCCTTGAAAGTTCTCCTTCCATCTTTGCCTCTTGAAATCCCTCAAGGCCCAGCACAGAGACCCCATTTCTATGGCATTTTTCTTACTCCAACCCAGAAATGATTCCTTGGCCCCCACCAGAGTGCTGCTAACAATAGGGCTCACCTCAGTATGCCCTTGAAAAGTCATTACCTGGACCGAGGGTAGGGACCATGTCTTGACCCCGTGTCTTCACAGCTCCAAAGACCTTGCCCTGGGGGCTCAACAGACGTGTCCCAGATGAGCAGATATTGTCGGGCCAGACAGATAGTTGTCATGAAAATGGCAATGATCCTTCATGATACCAACCTAAGAACGTTGGGGGTTATAGCTGAATCTTTCTGAATTCCCCTTCAAATGCTGTTATCCAAGAATTTTTCATGCCTAGGTATACTTGCAGTCATTGTTCTTGGCTCTTGCTAACCAGTGGGTAACATGACATCTCGGTGACTGGCAGTCGTTTCTTGAAACGTGTCCGTTCTCCATCTTCCCAGACACATCATCTCGGAGTTGGAGCACCTGATCTTTGTGAGCACGGATGTGGGCCGCTGCCGGGCCTGGCTGCGGCTGGCCCTCAACGACGGCCTGATGGAGTGCTACCTGAAGCTGCTGCTACAGGAGCAGGCCCGCCTGTGCGAGTACTACCAGCCCACGGCCCTGCTCCGCGACGCCGAGGAGGGAGAGTTCCTCCTGAGCTTCCTTCAGGGCCTGACGTCCCTGTCCTTTGAGCTCTCCTACAAGTCTGCCATCCTCAACGAGTGGACACTCACCCCGCTGGCCCTCTCGGGGCTCTGCCCGCTCTCAGAGCTCGACCCCCTCACTACCCCTGGAGCTGAACTGCAGCGGAAGGAGTCTCTGGACTCCATCTCCCATTCCTCGGGCTCAGAGGACATTGAGGTCCAGCACTCAGGCCACAAGATCCGACGGAACCGGCAGCTCACCGCCTCCTCCCTCAGCCTGGACACGGCCAGTTCATCCCAGCTCTCCTGCAGCCTCAATTCTGACAGCTGCCTCCTCCAAGAGAATGGCTCCAAGAGTCCAGACCGTTCCGAGGAGCCCATGTCCTATGACTCAGACCTGGGGATGGCCAATGCTGACGACTCGGACATGTCTCTGCAAGAGTGAGTTCCCCTCCCCACCCCTTCCCCTGCCTTCCTGCTTCTCTCCCTCTTGTCCTCCCGCCCTTCCTGGAGCATGTGATTGCCTGTCACTGAGCTCAGGCCTCTGTTAGGGCAGGAAGACAGACAGAGAGGTCATAGACTCTCCCTCAGGGACCAGAGTTGCTGGGAGCTGTACCTGGAGGAAAACTGAGGCTAGTGGGGAGAATGCATAGAATGCATTTTTTTAAAAAAATATTTATTTATTTATTGGGCTGTGCCAAGTTCATTGCAACACTTGAGCTCTTCCATCTTCGTTGTGGTATGCAGGATCCTTAGTTGTGGCACGGGAACTCTTAGTTGTGGCATGTCGGGTCTAGTTCCCTGATCAGGGCTCGAACCCCGGCCCCCTGCCGGGGGAGCATGGAATCTTAGCATGGTCCTGCAGGGAAATCCCTGGAATGCCTTTAGATGGGGCTCAGAGCTGGTTCCAGCCCCAGCTCTGTCCTAAGTGACCTGTGACAAGTTAGTTAGTCTCTCTGAGTTTCAGTGTCAAATATCACTGTCATCTTCATCTAAAGAGAAGGAAACCAATAGTTCAGAGCTCTGTGTACAACTTCCCAAAAATACAGTGAAGCACAGTGCCCAGCGTGATCTTCTGGGACCTCATGGAAGGTCTTCTGGAGGACACAAGACCTGGGTGATGCCTGCACGGGAGTGGCCGGCAAGTGGAGACGAGCGAGTGTGTGGAGGAGGAGGACATGGAATGACAAACTTGACAGGAGACAGGAGCCTGGGCAGAACCTTCCTTCATTCAGGCTTTTTAACGTTGGTTTTTGATAATCTATTTTTATGGTTAAAAAAATATATATAAAATGTGTACCGTGAAAAATCTCTCCCACCCCTGTAACCATAAATATTAATTTCTTACATATTTTTCCAGTGTCTCTAAATCCAGCTATACTATGTGTGACTATGTAGATTTGAACTTTTTCTTTCTTATTTCTTTTTTTTTAATCGAAGTATAGATGATTTACAATGTTGTGTTAGCTTCATATATATATATATATATATATATATATCCTTTTATAGATTCTTTTCCTTTATAGGTTATTATCTTTCTTATTTCTTTATTTGGCTGTGCTTGTCTTTGTTGCTGCACATGGGCTTTCTCTAGCTGTGATGCACACAAGCTTATCTGGTTGTGGCACATGTGGCTCATGGGCTCTACAGTGCAGGCTTAGTAGTTGGGGTACACGGGCTTGGTTACCTCGTGGCATGTGGGATCCTAGTTCCCCGACCAGGGATTAAACCCATGTCCCCTACATTGAAGTCAGATTCTTTACCACTGGACCACAGGGGAAGTCCTTTATCTCTTCTTATTTCCCCACTTCTTTCCACAAAAGCTAGTATAAATTATAAATACACCATTCCATACCTTACCAGGGCTTCCCTGTGGCTCAGTGGTAAAGAATCTGCCCACAATGTAGGAGACCCAGGTTCGATCCCTGGGTTGGGAAGATCCCCTGGAGAAGGAAATGGCAACCCACTCCAGTATTCTGGAATTCCATGGATAGAGAAACCTGGTAGGCTACAGTTTATGGGATCACAAAGAGTCAGGCACAACTGAGTGATTAACACATACATACATACCTTATTTGGGAGATCTTGTCATATCAGAGCTTCTTTTTCTATTATATTTGTGTCCACTATATGAATGAATGTACCTTAGTTTATTGAATCATCCCTGAGTTTAATGGACATTGGAGTCCAGGGTTTCTACAAATAACCTGTGAATGTGGTCCTTTAGCTCTATGTGAGTTATCTCTGTTCAGTAAATTCCCAGAAGAAAAATTACTGAACCAAGGGGTAGATTAATTAGTAACTTCCACAGATGTTTCCTATTTACACTTCATCAGTGGTATGCCTATGTCCTCTCAGCCTTGACAACAGAAGGTATTAGCAAACTTTTGGATGTTGCCTCATCTAATAGGTAAAAACAGTAGCTGTTTATGAAGCATTCCCTCCAGGTAGGACCCGTTTTTCCAGCAACTATGGTTAGGACCTTCTTTCCACTACTGCTGTCCCCGCCCTCCCCCGTCTCCCTGGTTCAGGTCTTTACAGGGCTCCCACCTGTGTGGGAATCACACCAGGACTCTGGGTGTCCTGGACTGGCCCGGAAGCAGATCCAGTTTCAAGCCAGTTCCACCACTTACAAGCACAGTGGTATCCTGCATATTGCTAACTCTTTTTGAGGTTCTGTTTATCTTTTCTTTTTTTTCCCGGAATGTAGTTGATTTACAGTGTTGTGTTAGTTTCCATCATACAGCAAAGGGGTTTAGTTGTATATACACATCTATCCACTCATTTTTAGATTCTTTTCCCATATAGGTCATTGAGTTTCGAGTAGATGTCCCTATGCTATACAGTAAGCCCTTACTGTTACTGTAGTTACTGTTTCATTGCTTTTTTATCTTTAAAGTGGAAATTCCCTCATAGGGCCGTTTGAGAGTCAAATGAGATGCCCGTCAATCAGTTGCACACATAAGAATGTGTGGTAGTTCCAGAAACGGCTTCTGAACATCGAGCACATCAGATAGAATTTTCACATGTCCAAACAGAAGGATTAGATATGATGTGCTGAGAAACGCAAGCCCTGCCCCAGAGGCGGTGGGGCCCGAGGTGTGACTGCCTGTCAGCCACCTGTCCTGGCCTTTGGTACTTCTCCCTTCCCTCGCAGACCAGCCAGTCCTCTCTGTCATGTGTCTTGACTTTATCTTTCATGTGTCTTATGATTGGAAAATTCCAGCTTAAGGTTGTTGAATCAGTGACCATCCACCCTCCTTCAGGGGAAGTGTTGTCCTGGGTATTCTGGGGGAACAAAAGGGAAGAAGTCAGGAAGCATAAACCCACACTGGACAGTGATGTGGGGAACCAGACACCACACACACACACACACAGAAGCACGCAGCCAGCACCACCGTTCTTAGAGCATCCACAGAGACCAGCGTTTCTTGGAGTGTATGTTTCAAGGGAGATTCTCACCAACACTTAGAGAGTTAAGTTAATGTGTTACTTAAATGCATGTAACTTACAATTGGGCATAAACACATTGCGCTTAAAACTCAAAACATCTGCAAATTGGGAATTCCCTGGTGGTCCAGCGATTAGACCTCCATGCTTTCGCTGCCCTGAGCCCAGGGTTTAATCCCTGGTAGGGGAACTGAGATCCAGCAAGCTGGGCTGTATAGGAAAAAAACAAAACAAAACTACAAATCAGACATGAATTGCAAAACCCATTTCAAATGAAATTTATTAATGTTTGGCAGAAACCAATTTACAGTTTACCCTGTGAAGAAAGGATTAACTGCCTCTCACTGCTTCTTTGGCATTTGTTGGGTCTGAATTATAATTATTGCTGAGAAGCACAGGTACAGTCTCGTGGTAAAGAGTGTAGACTCAAGAGCCAGACTGCCTAAGTCCTCCATCAACCAGCTTTGCTACCTCAGGCAAGTTAGTAAACCCTTCTGACCTTGATGTCCTCATCTGTAAAATGGGGGTGAGAATGCTTCAAAGGAATGCTGGGGTGATGCGGCAAATAGAGACCTTCATATGCCTAGAACAATGTCTGACTCAGCATGCTTGCTGACCACGTGGTGGTGTCATTTAACTTCTGGGTACCTGTGATATCAGCTCTGCTTGTCCCCATATCCACTGCTGAAAAACCTTGCTTAGTAATATTTGTCAGAGGTCACTGTCATGAGGCCTTCCCTTGGGGGAGAAATGATTCTTAGTATATGCATCCCACCTCTGTGCTTTTATTAGTGGCTCTTGACTGCCAAATAGTACCGTGTATCACCACCACAGTTCGCATGTTCAAAAAAACCACAGGCTCAGAATTGCTCATTAGGGGTCCTTTATAAGGTGACCATTCAGACTCTTCAGGTCATGGGGGTATAGCTCAGGGGTAGAGCATTTGACTGCAGACTCTCCAGGCCATGCTTTTTATTTACTTTACACATATAAGTACTCATAATACATATATTTTCCCACCAGATTGCTCTCTAAATGAAAGCACAGAGTTAGAAATTTTTTAAATAAAAAGTTTTTGGTAAACAGGGCCTTGTACCAGACCCCAGTGGAAGGACTGTAGCAGTTTCACAGTTTCATTTCTTGGTTTTTCTTTTTTTTCACTGTTTCATTTCTATGTTGTATTTTATAAATATAAATATAAAACTGTCAAAATGTTTGACAGTTTTCTTTCTTTGCCTTTGCTTCACAATCTCATCTCTATCCCTTTTTCCCACTTGATGTACATATCTCTTATTCTCACTGGGTCCTGAAGACTGGTACCAGTTCTGGTGAAGCTCTGTGAACTTGATTTCACCTTGCCTTTAGTTTTGATTTGACAGAAGCTATGGTTGATCACACAGGCTTCTTGCCGTTTGGTGGCATTTCCCTAGGCATTAAACCACTCACTTATTCTAACACCCTATCCATTCTTATCATTAAAACCTTTCTTATAGATCAGGATTCATGTCTATTTGATAACCATTTTGGCAATGCTAGCGAGTGTTTCAATAAGTCTTCTCCTTTGCTTACATTTTTATGTTTGTGTACAGGGAGGCTAAGCAGCCTTATCAGTGATAATGAGGTTAGTGTTACTTTGTGCCAAACCCCGTACTAAGCACTTTACCTGTATTATCTCATTTAGTCTTTGTCAGAGTCATAAAAGGTGGATGCTGTTACCACATCTGTCTTTCAGATAAGGGAATTATGTCCATGAACTTCATGTTCACATTGTGCGGCCCACAGCCACATGCTAACCAAGGCCAGGAGGACTCGGGGAGCCCTGCTCTTAATCACTCACCACACCACCTCCTGAGACCTCACAGAGGACCTTGTCAAAAATCTGCCTCGCTAGTTCATTTCAGATGAGGTCCCATTCTGTCCCAGCGGTTTGGACACATACAGTTGGTTAGCAAATGTCCCCTCCTCCTTTGCTGGTGGAAAGTCCCCTTTTCTCTCCAACTCATCGTTGCCTTCTCCCTACCAGCTGCACTCTTGGATTTCTCATGGGCCTCTTTTAGAGTGCAGCTTTAGAGCAAGAATGAGCCCCCACCTGCCTCCCCCCATAACTCTCCCACAGATACAACCGCACCTTTCTCTGACGAGTCATCCATTTATTTGCTGTGCCATGCTTAGTCGTGTCCGACTCTTTGTGACCCCATGGATTTCTTTGTCCGTCGGGATTCTCCTGGCACGAATGCTGGAGTGGGTTGCCATGCCCTCCTCCAGGGGATCTTCGCAACCCAGGGATCAAACCCAGGTCTCCCGCATTACTTATCAAGACAGAATTCACATACCATAAAATTCACCATTTTAAAGTGTAGTTTAAAAATAAATAAATAAATAAAGTGTAGTTTTCAGTGGTTTTCACTATAGTCTCAAGGTTGTGAATTCAACATCTATACTATCTTTTAAAAAAAAAATTTTGTTTGGCTGCATTAGATATTAGTTGCCCCACACAGGATCTTGTATCTTTGTTGCAGCCTACATGATCTTTAGTTGCAGCATGTAGGATCTAGTTCCCTGACCAAGGATCGAACCCAATCCCCCTGATAGAGAGTGCAGAGTCTTAGCCACTGAACCACCAGGAGAGCCCCCAGCATCTACTACTATCTAACTCAAGAATATTTTCATACCTTACCCATTAGTTATAAATTTACCTATTCTAGACATTTAATGTCAATCAAGTCTTACAATATGTGGCTTTTTGTGACTGTCTCCTTTCACTGAGTACTATGTTTTCAAGGTTCATCCATATTATAGCACATATTATGGCCAGATAATATTCCATTGTCCATTGTGTAGATATACTACAGTTTATTTATCCATCAGTTAATGGGCATTTGTTTTTTTTCTGCTTTTTAGCTGTCATGTTGCTATGTGTAGTAATGTACAAGTGTTCTGTGTGGACATGTTTTTAATTCTCTTGGGTATGTACCCAAGCATAGAACTGCTGAGTCCAGTAGTAACTCTATGTTTAATATCGTGAGGAACTATCAAATCGTTTTCCACAGAAGCTACACCATTTTACATTTCCACCAACAATCTGTAAGAGTTCCAATTTCTCTGCATCTTTGCTGATACTTGTTATTCTCTGCCTTTTTTATTATAGCCATCCTACTGGGCATAGAGTAGCATCTCATTGTGGGTTTGATTTGCATTTCACTATCGTCTAATGATTCTGAACACTTTTTCTTGTCTTTGTTGGCCATTTGTATGCTTTCTTTGGAGTTATATCTATTCAAACCCTTTGCCTATTTTTTAAATGGCTTTAACTTGGGTTATTTATTATTAAGTTGTAAGAGCTCTATATTCTGGGTACTAGACCCTTGGATATATGGTAATATTTGCACATTTTGTATGCAAATATTTCTATTAGATATATTTTTTATTAGTTGCTTATGTATTAGATGTCATATCTAAGAAACCATTGCCTGATCCAAAGATATGAAGCTTTATGCTTGTCTCCTTCTAAGAGTTTTATAGTTTTAGTTCTTACCTCTAGGTCTTTGATCCATTTGGGGTTAATTTTTTTTTTTTTGGCTGTGCCATGCAGCTTGTGGGATCTTAGTTTCCAGACCAGGTGTTGAACCCGGGCCAAGGCAATGAAAGGGCCAAATCCTAACCCCTGAATCACCAGGGAATTACCTGGGTTAATTTTCTTTTTTTCATTATTCATTCATTTATTTAACTTCATCAGGTCTTAGTTGTGGCATGTGGGAACTTCATTGCAACACACAGATTCTCTAGGTGTGGTCCATGGGCTCAGTAGTTGTGGTACACGGACTCTCAAGTTACAGTTTGTGGGCTTAGTTGCTTGTGACACGTGGGATCTTAGTTCACCAGCCAAGGACTGAACCCACGTCCCCTGCATTGCAAGGTGGGTTCTTAACCACTGGACCAACAGGGAAGTCCCCTGGGGTTAATTTTTTTTCTGTGGTGTGAGATAGGGGTCCAATTTCATTCTTTTGCATGGAATCAGTCACTTATTCCAGCACCATTTGTTGAAAAGACTGTTCTTTCCCCACTGAAATGTCTCAGCACCTATGCTGAAAATCAGTTGCCCAGAAATGCATGGGTTGGTCACTTCTTCTTGACTAGAATGCTTTAAAATGTTGTTTGGGGTTATAATGGTATAAATAAGAGCAGAGCTCACCTAGAAGGCAGTCTGATGAAAACTTGAGATCTGAAATCCTTGTTTCCATAAGCCCACACACAGGGGAGCTTGATGTGTCTTCTGCACCCACTCTAAGCCTTTAAGGCAGATGTGTGCAATCTCTTGGGCTCCAGACAGCTCTTTTGACACTAGAACCTGCATTTGTCTATGGGTTCCTCACTGGATTCATAAGCAGAGGTGGAGACAGCAAATAGGTTTACTTCAGAAACAGAACTTGGATTCTCTGAAGCCTCAGGAGAGGGAGGGAGGGAGGAGCAGCCACTAGCCAGTGCACATTCCAGAAGGTATAGCAGTGTGTGTGTGTGTGTGTGTGTGTGTGTATACACAAAGGCAGTGCCATTGGCTCCCTTGGCCCCAGACGTACCACTGAGGGGCAGGAAGTGCCGGTCCCATCAGGCACACACCCCGTGTACGTGGCACACATGCCACATAGCGTGTGTACACTGTTCTGCAGCAACAGCTTCTGGAACTGTGAGGCTTCTCTGGCTCCACGCCCAACCCGTCACCCCAACCCTGCTGCCCAGTTATTCCAGGGACAAAGAGGATCCTCACTTCACCCCAGTCCACATCCCAGGGAGCAGTCTTGGAGCCCAGCCCGGAGACACCATTCACTGAGGCTCTGCCAAGGTCGGCGTAGGGCGGGGACAGGCCACACGGCCATTTGGCTGAGCAGACTCGCCAGACCCACAGTCAGCCCGCTTAGAGGGTAAAAGACAGGCAGTTCCCGTTCGCCTCGAGTCCTTTTCTCTGCTTTGTGAGCTTTGTCACCTGAGACCCTGGGCCGCACGACTCACCTGGTCACCGAAACTGTCCAAGTCCCAGCTGGAGAAAAACTTTGGTGGGAGGGTCTGTGTGTGGGAGCTGGGAGCATCACCATGACTAAGGGGGTTATTTTGCTCAATCACAAAACAGCAGTTTTCCACTTAGCCTTGGGCATTCCAGCTGACAGCCCCATCACACGGGTTTCTTTGTTTAAAAACTTCTAGGGTGTTGTCGGAATTCAGCAAAGCCCAGGTAAACTCTGTGCCAGCCAACGGACCGAGCCGGGAAACGGAGGTTCCCACGCTGCAGGCCCCGCTCCCCCTCCCTGGCCTCGACACCAGCACACCCCTGCACTTGGAGGAACCAGCAGAGCCCCGCCACGCCCAGGCCTCCCCTGGGACTGGAGATGGGGACCACAAGCGGGAGCCGCTTGCCCAGGTGCCCGGCCTCCTGGGCTGGCCGCAGCCGGGCCCTGCCCAAGCTGTCCTTTCAGGGAGCGCTTCAGGCCAGCAGCCTCCTCGTCCCATGAGAGACGCCACCAGAGCAGCCGGCCAGGAAAGCGGCCAGCAGAAGCCCACGGAGGATGACGGGCCTTGGCTCAGCCTTGCAGTTCCCTCCCCTACTAGTCCGGTGAGTGGTATAAGCTGAGTTTTGGGGGGAAGGGACAGGAGGAGAGGGGGTGTTGGTGCATGTCTCAGAACCAGCGTAGGGTTTCCCCAGCTAGTGACCCCAGGTGGTCTCTGCCTTCTCCCTCTGAGCCCCCTCACCTCGTATGGTTCGGTATTAATAGAACATCGCGGTGATGGAGCTAATGTTCTGTGGGGTGTGAGTAGTGGATGGGAGCCGGGCTCTTTGCCCATCACTTCCCACGGGTGTCGCCTCTTACCTACACACCTACCCCCTGGAGAAGGTAGTTCTCTCCCGAGCACAGGCTCTGCTCTTCACCACGAACACTCACCCAGCTTTTGCCTCACTGAGCTTTGGTCTCCTCCTCCGTGCTTGTTACTATTTATTTATTTACTTAGCTGGGTCAGGTCTCAGTTGGAGCATGCGGGATCTTTTGTTGTGGTGCAGGGATTCTCTAGTTGTGACGGGTAGGCTTACTTGCTCCACAGCATGTGGGGTCTTAGTTCCCCAACCAGGGATCAAACCCAAGTTCCCTACATTGCAAGGCAGATTTTTTTTTTTTTTGCCACTGTGTCTTTTTTTTTTTTTAATTTTTGAACTTTTTATTTGGTATTGGGGTGTAGCTGATTAACAATGTTGTGACAGTTTCAAGTGAACAGCAAAGGGGCTCAGCCATGCATATACATGTATCTATTCTCCCCCAAATTCCCCTCCCATCCAGTCTGCCACATAACATTGAGCAGAGTTCCACGTGCTATACAGTAGATCCTTGCCTGTTATCCATTTTAAATATAGCATCCCAAACTCCCTAACTATCCCTTCCCTTCCCCTTGGCAACCATAAGTGTGTTTACTGATCACATTAAAATGAAAGCATTTTAAATATGTATTTTAAATAAAATATAAAATTAAAGTTTCGTTAATTAAATACAACTTTAATTAAAGTTTTAATTAAAGTTATTAAAATTAACTTCACTTTTTTTTTTAACTTTCTTTAATGTGGGTCTTAGAGCATCTAAGATGACCTGTGTGGCTTGCATTTGTTTATGTGGGATAAACAAATGTTCTAGAATAAGCTATTCTAGTGTGTTGATGACCTGAAGAAGCCAGCACTGGGACTGGCCTGGAAAAAGCCCAGAGGTAGAGGCTGGAACTGGGGGCCCTACTACTGTGAAGCAGTAGTCAAACTGTGAAATCGAGTTCTTACGCCATTTCACATTTGTTCTTGGGTCATGAAAAGCAGAAGTAGGAACTGGAGTGCACGTGTGCCTACACAAAACCCAGAGCTCATCCCAGCTGTGTCTGGGGCTCGTTTTGGGCATACAGTCTTACTCTTGCAGCTCCATCCACAAACGTCCCTCCTTTGGCCTGTAGCTTCTAGATTCTATAACTCAGGATGGGCCAAGGCCATGAAATAGACTATAGGAGACACCCCCACCCCCTCTTTTAACAGCTTTATTGTGATATAATTCACATACCATACTATTCACCTAATCAAGTGTATAATTCAGTTTTTTTTATTCACAGTTGTACAACTATCACCACAGTCCAAGTTTAAATATTTTCATGTTCCATAAAAGAATCCCCCTACCCCTTAGCAATGATTCTTGTCCTTTCCTCCCACTCCTGCCTCTCCTCACCTTGCTCAACTCCACGCAACCACTAATCTACTCTGTTTATAGATCTGCCTGTTCTGGACATGTTACATGTGTAGAATTGTATGATCACATTTGTGATTGGCTTAGTTTCAATTAGCAAAATGTTTTTAAAGTTCATCCATGTTGTGGCATGTATTAGTACTTTGTCTTTTTTTTAATGTCCCTTTGTAAATTCCATCATATGGATGTGTCACATTTTATTTATCCATTCATGGGTTAATGAACATTGGCATTTTTCCTACCTTTTGACTGTTGTGAATAGTGCTACTATGAACATTCATGTATAATTTTTTGCTTGGACATATATTTTTAACTTTTTTGGATGCATAGCTTGAGGTACAATTTTGGGATCATATTGTATCTCTATATTTAACCTTTTGAGAAACGGCCAAACTGTTTTCCAAAAGCAGTTGTCTTGTTTTATATTTCAACCAGCAGTGTATTTCTCTACATCATCACCAACAGTTCTTACTGTTTTGTTTTTTTATTATACGTGGTATCTCATTATGGTTTTGATTTACATTTCCCTGATGACTAATGATGTTGAGCCTCTTTTCATGTGCTTATTACCATTTGTGTTTTTCTTTGAAGAAATGTCTATTCAAAACATTTGCTCATTCTTGGGAATTCCCTGGTGGTCCAGTGGTTAAGACTGTGTGCTTCCAATGCCGGGGGCACAGGTTCAGTCCCTGGTCAGGGAACTAAAATTTCCACATGCCACGTGCCATGGCCAAAAAAAGATTGCCCAGTCTTAAATAGGGTTATGTAACAAATTACAGTTTTTTTGTGTATTCTAGACACTAGACCTTTCTTAGATAAATGATTTGCAGATTTTTCTCCCATTCTGTGCATTATCTTTTCACTTCCTTGATGGTATCATTTGAAGCATAAAAGTTTTGAATTTTGATGTAGTCTCTTTTTTGTTGCTTGTACTTTTGGTTTCATCTCTAAGTACTCCTTTTCTAAGCCAGGGTCATGGAAAGTTACTCCCATGTGTTCTAAATGTTATAGTTTCATCTCTTACATTTAAATCTATGATCCACTTAGAGTTAATTTTTGTATTTGGTAAAAGAATGGCACCTGACTTCATTTTTTTACATGTGCTTATACAGTTATACGAGCACCATTTGTTGGAAAGACTTTTTTTTTTTTAACATTTTTATTTATTTATTGGCTGTGCTGGGTCTTCACTGTGGCTCAAGGGCTTCTCTAGCTGTAGCACATGAGCATGGTTGCCCAGTGGCATGTGGGATCATAGTTCCCCAACCAGGGCTCAAACCCACATCCCCTGCATTAGGAGGCAGATTCTTTACCACTGGACCACCAGGGAGGTCCCTGGAAAGACTACTGTTTGTCTGTTGAATTGCCCCAATTTCCCCTTTAAACATTTTTTTGAGGAATGATGTATCTAAAGCACCCAGATCCTCAGTGTACACCTCAGTGGATGCTTATATATCACACACACTCTGTAACCACCATCCAGATTGAGATATAGAACATTTCCAGCCACCAGAAGTTTCGCTTCTGCCCTCTTCCACTCACTGCCCCCCCACTCCAAAGGAAACCACAGTTCTGACTTGTAGCCCATAAAGTCTTTCCTGTTGTTGAACTTTATATAGATAGAATCACATAGTGTATATTCTTTTAGTTCTTTCACTGAACGTTATATATGTGAGATTCATCTATAGCCTGAGGTTCTTTTCCATTGTTCTGTAGTATGCCACCATAAGAATACAGATTCTTTACCACTAGCGCCACCTAGGAAGCCCATAGACTATATCACAACGTCCCGTATATTCAATTCCTGTAATGTATTCACAGAAGTTTGAGTTGTTTTCAGGTTTGGGCTGTTATGAAGAAAGGAGATATGAGCATTCCTATACTTGCCTTTCAGTGAATCCATGTATTCGTTTCTGCTGCTGCTGCTGCTAAGTCACTTCGGTCGTGTCTGACTCTGTGTGACCCCATAGACGGCAGCCCACCAGGCTCCCCCGTCCCTGGGATTCTCCAGACAAGAACACTGGAGTGGGTTGCCATTTCCTTCTCCAATGCATGAAAGTGGAAAGTGAAAGTGAAGTCGCTCAGTCATGCCTGACTCTTAGCGACCCTACGGACTGCAGCCCACCAGGCTCCTCCGTCCATGGGATTTTCCAGGCAAGAGTACTGGAGTGGGGTGCCATTGCCTTCTCCATTCATTTCTGGGTGTGCATCTAAGAATGGAATTGCTAGGTCACCGGGTAGCCATGTGTTGAGCTCTAGACAGGGAAGCCTGGCGTGCTGCAGTCCATGGGGTCGCAAAGAGTCGGACGTGACTGAGTGACTGAACTGAACTGGACTGAACTAAGATACTGCCAAACAGTTTTCAGAGGGCTTGTACTAACTTATACTCACATTAGCAATGTGAGCATTTTCATTGTCCTTCATCATAGTCAGTGGTATTGTCAATCTTCTACATTCTGGCTACTCTGGTAGGTAAATAGTGGGGTCTCACCGTGGTTTTAATTTGCATTTCCCTGATGACTAATGATACTGATAGCTTCTCATTTGCTTTTCGGAAGCATTCTTTAAAGTCATTGTCCCATTCTTGAATTGAATTGTGTGTTTTCCTTATTGATTTGTAGCAGTTCTTTATATACTATGGATGTATCTTTTATTGGATAAAAAAATACACACACACACACACACACACATATATATATATGTAGCAAATATGTTCATATAATCTATGGCTGGCCTTTGAGTTCAGTTCAGTCACTCAGTCGTGTCTGACTCTTTGCAACCTCTCAATGGTATCTTTTTAGTAGTATTTATTTAACTATGCTGGGCTTTGATTGTGGCATGTAGAATCTTTTTTTTTTTTTTTAATATAGTTTCAGCATGTGGGGTCTGGTTCCCTGATCAGGATCAGACCTGATCCAGGGACCCCCTGCATTGGGAGTTCGGAGTCTCAGCCACTGGACCACCAGGAAAGTCCTATCAGTCTTTCTGTTTTTCAATCAATGTGTTCCATGTCTATTTTTAAAATCTCTTTGTCTCCCAAGGCTATGAAGGCTGTGGAAATCCCTGAATTTTCTTCTAGAAGCTTTCTTATTTTACCGTTTACAATTAGGTATATGATTATACCTGAGCTTATTTAGATCTGGTATGAGGTAGGTGTTTTCCACATGGATGTCAGGTTGACCTCGTGCTGTTTATTGAATACGACTATAAATCATGGAGCCGTGTACGTGTGGATCAGACTCTCCGTTTTTGCTATCCCTAAGGTGACTTCAAGCCCAGAATGTCACAAGGCCCTGAAGTCTGTGACTATGAAACCAGCAGCACACGCTGAGGTTGAAGAGAAAGG